GCGTTAATGTCTGTGTGTGTATGTTAATTTTGTTGTTGATTTTACAATTTTCAAATAATTACTTTTTCTATGCACTGATGGTGATGTTAAGCTATCATCGACAGCATCCTGATGGCGCAAAAAGAAATTATAAAAGCTTCGACGGCGATTCGATCGAGGCGCTTCCACGAATATGCTACCGCTTTTGTGACACATTGTATTGTTGATGTTGTTGTTATTGTTGTTGTTGTGAGGTAATTATATTTTTACGATTTCAAGTGTGGCAATTTATGAAGCATAATACAGAATTATGAAAAAATATAAATGTAAGTGATATTTTAGTAATTTGTTAGATATTTGCTTAATTTTCTTTTATTATTATTATCTTTTGTTTTTGTCCAATACATAGATATGTACGATTCACTTTTATCGAAAATATTGTAAATTTGCAAATTTTTGACGAAATCTTTCAGCAGTAGCTACAACACAAGGTACACTGGGAGATAATGATTTAATATGTATACGCTTAACATATACATAAGGTTTATAAGAATTATATTTTACTAAGCTAACATATGCACTAACAATGGAAAACAACAAATATTTAATTTTGAAATTTTGTGTTAAGATTTTTTAGTTTGAAACCTATTTTTTATTTATCGGTTTCTATTTTTTCTTAATAATAAGCAGCACATATTCTAAAAAATTTACTTTTAAAATTAGACCTATTAGTTGTCTACTTTTTTACTTTTTTCTTTTTACTTGACGGTTGATGCGTTCCGAATGCATGTTTCGGAGATATCACAATCAGAGTGATAAAGTGCTTCGACAATTGATTCAAACGCAGGCAAAAATGTATAAATCTTAATGGAGAATATTTTGAAAAACTATAAAGCGATTTTCGATGATTAATATTTGCTTTTGTGCTTTAATCGCGAAATATATAAGGCAACCCTCGTATTAGTTCTCGTTCTTATTATACAAAAAATATCAAATTATTATTTTTTCAAATTCGAACTTGTTTAAGAGGTTAGGCAAGTCTAGTGCCAAAAAAAAAACTAGTTTGCTAGTATACTTTAGGGCGCTAAAAATATTTTTGAATTGGTAGAATACAGAAAAAAGTCTCCCCTGTCCAATTCTTTGTACTGTCAGATTGTTTAACTCAGTCAGCTTCCGTGGGTCAAATTTCGAACGCCTCTTCTCGAAACTGTACTTTTAAAATCGGGTGACGATGGCACGATGAGACTACTGCTCCTATTCACTTGAAATTCGCTTACCGGTAACTTCTTGCAAATCTCATTTAGACGAAGACCGCTTTTTATGCCCTGAAAGGGTATATTAAGTTTGCTGAGATGTTTGTAATACACAAAAGGTAACGCCAGAGAGCCTATAAAGCATACATAACTTATCAGCGTGACGGGCTGTGACGATTTGGCCATGCCCGTCTGTCTATCCGTCTGTATATACGCAACCTAGTCCCTTAGTTTTTGAGGTATCGACCTGATATATTGCACACATCTTTTTCTCACCCAGAAGCTGCTCATTTGTCGGTCCGCCGATATCGGGCAACTAAGTAGTATAGTTTATAGCTGTCATACAAACTGAACGATCAGAATCAAGTGCTTGTATAGAAAACTTTTTCATTTGACGAGATATCTTCAAGAAATTTGCTAGAGATTATTATCCAAGGCATTGCTACAATTTCCAAAGAAATCGAACTACTATAGCATATAGATGCCACACAAGTCCTTGTTTGGAAAACTCTTTTATTTGTCATGGTAATACCATGAAAATTTGGCATAGATTAATATCCAAAACATTGCTACAATTTCCGAACGAATTGTTTAGATCGGACCATTGTAGCCAATAAAAGTGACTGATCGAAATCAGAATAAAGATCATTTTATGTTATAAAAAGCCTGTGACTTTTATTATTGCTTCGGTGCAGCCGAAGTTAAAGTATTTTATTGCTTTAATTTGCTTCGCCACATGTCACCCACCTAAAAAAGGTGATTTCGGACATTGGCTCAGTAGCCGCCGTTTTGTATCGAATATTTTCATGTTTAATAAAGCCCGAAATTCGATAAAGAGAGAAATTCGATAACTTTTTTTTTAATCTCAGAATAATTTGTTAAAGTTGGACCTGTTTTGAAGGCGCTAGACTGGCCTGACCTCTTAAGTAAATTTTTAACCATGTACTTGTAGTACTCGCTTTTATTATTTATATTTATCTCACTCAAATTTTGACCGACGTCCTTGAATACCGATATTCCGAGGGGTAACGATTAAAACTATTAAATATTTAGTCTAAAATAGGACCTTGGCATTCGTATTAATGAATTTAGTGATAAAAAATTTCTTTGCTGGTTATAATAAATTTTCAGGATCTCTACCTTTGCCTATCATAAAAAGGTGGATCAAACACGCACAAACATGCGGGAAGTATACGTATACATTCCATTATGCCTAACTTGATTAAATATAGTATTTGAAGTAGTAGTAAGAAATGGGGATTAAATGTTTACGACATCGGGGCAAAATATTTTTGATCACATGTTTAGAAGCTACCAAAATTCTATTATATGTTATATTATTATATTTATATAGTTACAGATAATTATTTCATAATAATTTTTAATAACTAATAGTTTAAATATTATTTTTATTTTATTTTTTTTAATTATTCTAGGTTGTGATACAAATATCTAAAAAAATAAATAAATCTATTTTAATGGTTTCATGGTCACTTGTAAAAGTGAAAAAAAAATTGAATTTCATATTTTTAAAATGGATCAGTGAACGAATTTATTTAAAAAAATTGAAATCATTTAGAAATTGATTCTTTTCGAAAAAGTTTGAAAGGATAAAAATATCACTATATTTTAAATTTTTTCGTTTTCCCGGTTAAATAATGGCAAAATATATTTGATATTCTTAAATTACTTAAAATTGTTAAACAAATAACACAAATAGTCAACTAATATTGTAACTTTCGGTACACTTAACCTCCAATACCTAAAAACTTATGGCAAAACAACTGCTCTGAGTATCCATTTAACACTTGAAGTTAAGTAACATGGCAACTCTGCACTTAACCTCAAATACTTAAGAGCTTAAGACAAATCAGCTTTTTTGTTATAAATAAAAAATTACGAAGAAATAATTTTAAAGATAATGAATATAGATAAATTTTTTTTCAGTGAAAACTCACAATTAAACGCACTTAAATTAAATTCCAGTATTACTTTTTAGCGTTATTATTATTAATTTTTTTTTGTCTTTAGTAAGAGTTTTCGCCAGGAAAGCTAAATTTTCTATATTCCTATAAATAAATTCACAAATGTTAATTATTATTTTATTTCGCGTAATGTTGCTTCGACCGTTGCTTGTTTTTTACGCCTAACAATATTCAAAATGAATTTTCAAAATTTTAAAAGTAACGAAAATTCATTTTGAAGATCGTTAAGCACAAAAAAGTAATTACTTCACTTCAACCGAATCTTTTTTGTATCAAACATAACTAATTCAGCACTGGAAAGTGTCGTATTTGAATGAAGCACCAGCACTGAGCGTGCGTATTGCAATGGGTGAGAGTGTTTTTGGAGAGCAGAAAAATATTGTATTTAGACAGTTGTTTTATGCAGGTAAGTGTTGTATGTATTTGACTGTTTTGGAAGTTTTGGAAGTTTTTAGGGTTTTCAAAATATTTCTTTCATTGAACTATGTAATACTAATTTTTATAGTGGTGTATTTGGAAATTTTTATGCAATTTTTTTGTTCGTCACTACAAGCATAATTAACTATTTATCTTCACTTATATTACAGTTCTAAAGAGATTACTATTTCTATAGAAAATTAATATAATTAAATAATAATAAAAATCGTTTAGGCCACTACTTACAAATTGTACTCATCGAATTTGTTTACTTTTCTGTATAATTATTATATGTACTATATTTGTTGTTTTACAAAACTGTAATAACTGCAAATTGTTGTTCAATTAATTATTGTAAAATATTTTCAACGGCATAAAATAGTAGAATCAATCATTCTATGGAAATTTCTGGTGAATACTTTATTATACAAAAATATTGATATACAAATGTATGTTTGTATGAGTGAGTGAAGATAGAGCGAGCGTGAACATTTCGTAAGGCAAATAGTACATATGATTAGCATGTACAGTTGTAGACCACTATGACGCTATGAAAGTATGCAATCAATTATGTAAATAGATAAGTATGCATTGAAAATAAAGTGAGACCAATTTTAAAAATTTCTTTTCAATTAATATGCAATATGCGCCTACAAAGTAGTTTACTCGATTTGCATTTTGTACGAGCTAAATAATTGAGTTGAGTTGAGTATTGAATACTGATATAGATACGTAATATGCATGGTTAAGTTGATTATTATTATTATTGGGTTATACTAGACTATATAGATATGTATGTAAGTATGTGGTATGTTGTTATTAGACTACCGCCTACAATTACCTCTTTCACAATCATTGTGATTTGCTAATAAATTTAAATCACTTGACTGTGAGCCACTTTGTAAAACGTTTGAGACCATATCTGCGAGCAATGACTCATATGTTAGGGAGAGACAAGAGGACATTCTAGAAATAGGACTTAAGACACAAATTTACAATTTTTTTTATAAAACAAACAAAATGCTGTGGCATAAATTGGGTGGCTAAGTAATTGTAAGTAATATAGATTAATTTATAATTGTATATAGTATATGTATTGGTTTCGTCAAAAATTGCAATGCATTACGCATTAATTAAAATTTTTTTGGTTTTATCAGCACCAATTGTTGAGTAAAATTCATTTAGCTAATTTATTTTATGTGTTTATGTTTAGGTAATGTAATAAGTACCGCTTGCCGAGCTCCTCGCTTTGTTGTTTGATGTCCTTCACCACATCATCGGCGCCGGAGACTAGCATAAGCGGCAGATTTAACCATGGACCGGCCAATTCGCTAAGATCAGAGGCGTCAGAGGCGCGTGAAGACTTGCGCGAGGAGGCGCGGCTGGAGCATTGAGTGCCCCGACGACTGACCTGCAATTGGAAGCAGATATTTATGTGTTATATTTGCGTTGTTTAATTGTTAAAAGAATTCATAACTCACTTGTAAATGAAAGAAATTGAGCGCTGATAGTTTGGATTGCCATCCACCAGGGCTCGATGTCTGCGTCATGCTGTCACCCGAATTTGAGCGTTCCTTCTCCTTCTTCATGCTGTAAATAGGACAGAAATCTCTTAAGTTCACAGGTAGTGAATGTAATAGATGCTTAAATCTTCGTCTGTTAATGTCGCGATATTAAGGCGGCCGATCGGCCTAACTACACATAATACCGTTCACTCAAATTCTCATCGCGGTCAAACTTCGGAAATTGAGGTTAACAACTATCTATTACCTCTCAAATACAGTAAAGATTTACAATCTGATCCTTTCAGGACCGTGAGTACGGATGTATAAAACCGGTACAAGTTTCGTAGACTACTACTGGAGAAACACTCTGAAGATAGAGACTGGTTACGGAAGGTTAGTAGCTTATAAAACAGAGATTTATTATCGCAAAAAAACATAATTCTCAATTTTCAATTGCTTTCAATGCGGTATTTTCTCTTGAGTTTCAAAGACACCACTAACTGAATAGGAATTACCAAACGACCTAACCGTTTACAAATCAATGACAACTCTCAGACTTACCGCTGATATTCGTGCCAGGCATTCTGTATGGTTTTGGCCGCCTTCTCCTGACGCTTCCATATGCGCGTCGATGAAACAATTTCCAACTCTTTGCGTGTAGGGAACTGTTTCTTGAATTTCACATCCATTTGCTCCTGCAACTGCTTGAAGTTGTCCGTCTCCTCAACATGACCCAACACATGTTTGACAAGTGCGTGTAATATATCAAGGCAATGAATTTTATTACCCCTCGATATCGGCAAATTGAATGAGACCAACGCTACAGTGTTGGGCTTCGAAATGCCAAGCGGTGGATCGAGCGAGGCAATGAAATCCGAAAGTTGACCAAAGTGTATGAATTGTGTAGCGTGTGGGTCGTATCTGTAAATAGTGATTATATATATAACAGTATATTATGTGAGTGTTTGGATTTGTGCTAAAGTTAAGTTTTTTATGTAGTGTAATACTAACTTGGACCATCTGATATAGAACATTTCCAAATCGTCTTCGACAATACCGATCTCTTCCTCTTGATGTGCCTGATTGAAATTCTCCAAAATAATTGCAATGTACATGTTAATCACAATCATATAACTGATTATAATGAAACTAGTAAAATAGGTGATGGCCAATAGGGGATGGCCGCAGTCTCCGTTTGTTTGCTTATTGAAGAAGGGATCGCAATCGGGTGGTTGAATCATCAGTGATTCCAGCACATCATTCCAACCAGCGGAGGTCATTAGCCGAAACAACAGCTGCATGCTGCGTCCGAATGTCTGAAAGTTCACCATATCATCTAAGGCGCCCTGCAGCTTAACATGGCCGAACAGTGACATGCCCAATATAGCATAGATGAAGGTGATCAATCCCAGTAGTGCGCCAATATTAAATAGCGCCGGCAGTGAGACAACTAAAGCGAACAATAGTTTACGTATACCTTTGGCCGCTTTAATAAGACGCAGTATACGACCGATGCGAAAGACGCGTACCACACGCAATAGGGTTGGGCTGATGGGCAAATCGATCATGATATCCTCCATGAGGATGCCGAAAATTGAGGCGAGTACAAGTAGGAAATCGAAAACGTTCCATGGCACAGTAAAGTAGTGATAACGCAAACCGATGATCTTGACGATCGCCTCTGTGGGGAGGCGAAACGAAAAACGGGATTTTAGTGCAACACAGTGGGTACAAAAAAAAAACAACCAAAAACAAAAACGCACAAGAAATTGTAAAAGAAAAAAAAAACACACACACATTATAGAAACATGCAAGTGTTAGTAGGTACACTAAGTTTAGATTATTGTTGACGCTACTTACCCAGACCAAAGACGGTGGTAAAAAATGCATTGCTTACTTCGAGTATGAAAAACACAGAATGCGGTTGATTGTAGTGCTCGATACCCATGGTTAACATATTTAAAAAAATCAATACAAATATGGCTATTTCGAATCTGTGTTGTTGTTGTTATAAATATTATTATTATTATTGCAGTTGTTGTTGTTGTTGTTTTTTGTGTTTTTGTTCAGTGTTGTTGGTTGTTTTTTGCACACGTTGACAGTTAATACAATATTTGAAGTGTTTTTGTTGTTGTTTCAAATTGTGACGTTTACATGTAACGTTAGCCGTAGGGAGAAGGGGGGAGAAGAGTTATTGAAAAAAGTACACATTTTAGTCATACTCATTTGGAGGAAATATACATGTTAACTGTAAAAAGAAACCTATTTACATAACTAAAATTATTTAGTTTTTTATATAAGAAATTAATTTTATTCAAACTAAATAAGCATAACAAAAAATTATTTTAAAATTATTATTAAAATTGTGCGAGTTAAAAAAGCTTTAATATGATATTGAAAAGGCTTGATATGTCATGTGTCTAGAGCACTACAGTAGTATTACGAAGGTGAGTTAGTTTCTTTTATAATTATTTTAGCAATTAGATATTATAACGAAAAATTCTATGCTATTTGTGGTAAAAAATTTCGATTGAAGTAGATCTCTCTGATAATTTAAATTTATATCACATATCATATTTTAAATACTAATAAAATCATGCAAACAACGCTTTAAATAAACTTGTTCAAAAAATTGTAGATGCCTACAGTAATATACCATCTGATCACATTTGAGCCGGACACGGATAACATCGAAAATATAAAAGAAATAGTGCTTGAAAATCGTCGTGTTGGCATTGGAGAGATAGCAAAGGAACCCAACATATCTTTTGGATCGACTCAACACATTTCGGTTAATGTTTTAGTTATAAAGTGTGTCAATGTTAGACTCGTACCAAAATACCACAATCTTTTGCAAAAACGGCGTCGAATAGCTAAGGACCCTTTATTCGTCAAACACATCGCTACAGGTGACAAGACGTACTAGTAAGTTTATGAATATGCTATATAAAGGTGCTGTTACAACCGTTTAAGTGGGATCCCCGTGATATACGTTGCGGTGGTCAACACGGATGCATTTAACCTAACACTTAATTATTTATCAATTTGTGCCATATTTTGTCAAGCAATAAACTCAATTGGAAAATTTATTTTAAATTTAGTTGCATTTTGTACAAAACCTGCTACATAGCTACAGATAGACAGGTACCTAGCAGTTGCCTTTTGTAACAGTTTTGGTATTTTTAAAAATTAGAACTACGAAGGTGGTCAAATAAATGTTTCTCCTCGACAACACTATCGTGTAGTATATTCTTGTAGACGGCTACTTTCAAAATTTTAGCCAACTCGGATATATTTTTTTCAAAAGAAAATTCCGAGATTTTGTTTTCAAGAGAGCGATATTGGTCGGTGGCTCAATTCTTGTTTTGGAAACGAAATGGCGTTGTGAGATCAGTGAGTGCTTGGGTGCTCTATACAGTGACACTTTTCCTTCGATATAACAAGCATCGCGGCAACTTCACAGCAGTGTTTGTCGCTATTTAATCCCAATTATAAAGTACGACGAAACATGGATTCACTGGAAAACATTAGAAACCAAGAAACAGTCCAAACAGTGAATTTCACACGACCTAACCTGACCTAAAAAAGGCGAAAACTGTTCTATCAGCCGGAAAGATAGTGATGAGGATGGTCTCTGGTATTCAACTATTTGTAGAAAGCAAATTAGTTAGACAGCACTATTATGCTGAACTATTGCAATATCTATAATATACAATTAATTATAAATAAATTTATGAAATATTGTAAAAAAATAGTTTACTGTAATAAATACATACATACATATATATACTACATATATCAAGCTAAAAAATGCCATTGCAAAATGAATTGAGAATCAGCAAGCGACAATGCAAGGATGCAATGATGATGAGATTTTCACAATGATTTGTGCGCAAACTTAAAACGTTTAAAGGTAAAGTCCGTTCATATTGAACCAGGAATACGTAGAAGGTGTTACATACAAACACACTGAGGGGGTTGTGAGACTACAAATAAAAATTTAATTCGGTTTAAATTGGACCATACGCCTCCAGGATAAATTTACATACGCAGGACTTAATCGATGCAATACATTTACAGGGTGAGTCAGTTGGTACAAGCACAATTTCTTTAATTTACATACAAACGACACTAATATTGAAAGATATATGTGAAATTTTCTACTACAATTACATTCGTTAGATATAAAAACAGTAGCTAGTTAGTTTTGGGGTCTTCCACTACGCTTACAGCACTCCCTAGATGGGAGACTACAAACTGTAGAATACACCGCAACATGGCGTGACAATGCAAGTAATAGTATCACTCGCGGAGATTTAAGGAAGAAAGCAAGTGTTTAAATAATTTTATCACCAAATCATACGATCATTCAGCTATATAGTCAGCTAAAGTTGTTTTGTGGGCGTGTATGCTTGGAGCGAGCGCGACATTGCCGATATAGCAATATCGTAATTTACGAGTCTATTTACAGTTATGAATGTGCCTAACCATATACTTTTGTATGTATGTAGGTACATATGTGTGTATGAACGAAATTGTAACACTTTTACCAAAAAATTGAAGAAAACCACTTTGAAAGATTATAAGCAGTTTCGATGCAATCATTAACGCTTCTTCACAAAAATCAAAAAAATTTATATATACGAGTATGTAAGTATGTTTATGACGTAATCAGTTTAATGCTTGTGGCAGAGTTAAGTATTGGAATAATTAGAGCGAGAGAGACAGAGAGTGAGAAAGAGAGAGCACGCGAAATTGAGACAAGTATTTGAGTTATGAGTAAGCAAATTTTTAGCAGAATTTCGACATACCAAATTTGAATTAGACTAAACTGTAGCAGAGTTTCTGAAGTATTTCTTAAAATATGTTTACAGAGCGAGTTCACAGGGAACGAGACAGTTAAAATTCGAGTAAGCGAAATGTATGCATTTCTAGGTAATGTAGTTAATGAGGTGTTACTGTACTTTAGCAATACTATGGCAAATAGCGGCAGCTTTTCTGAACTAAAAGTTGTGAATGCAAAAGCGTATTGAAAAAAATATATAAAATTTAAAACTAAAAAATTGAAATTGTTAAAAAAAAACAATTGGAAAATTTTTATAAATGTATATATGTATGTAGTTAGGTAGTTGAATTAAAAATAAAATGGAACACAAAATTGAAAACTGAACGTAGTTACTATTTTGTATAAATCATACTTTTAGCATTTGATCATTACCTTCTCGAATTCGATAAATCATAAAACATTGCTAAAAAATGATTTATTGGTCGCTTAATGACTTTCTGTGGTTTTTTTCGTCCCAACTTTTTCATGGCGGTGTAATAGTGTTTTTGAGATTCGGTGAGAAACATTTCCAACACTCCTCCTTCATACTATGGAACGATGAAAGTAAATTTTTAATATTTACATATAAACACAATACATACAAGTATTTTTTTCACTTAGACTAAGTACACATACGTTAAAAAAAATTGTGTGTGCGTGTATATGTGTGTGTATTTGTGTGTTTGTATTGGTGTTTGTATATAAACTGTTAAGTGTGCTTATCATACCGGAAACATTAATATGTATGAACATTTATACACGGAAAATAAAAGTGAAAGCGAAAGTACTTTTCGGTAAAAGTTGCCACACTTGCCGAAAAGTACTTTCCGATATTTTAGTTTTATATTAATATTTTTTCTTTTTTCTTTGAATTTTTTTTTTTTGTGTTTGGAGTAAGTTTTCTGTATCTCTAATAATAATTTTTATACAACAAATGAATAAATTTTCAAACAAATATTTCTCACAGTGTATTAAAAAAAATTTTTAGTAAATATAAAAATAGCATATTGTACATACATATATGCATTAATGTTCTGCACTAGAAAATGTTTAATTTTAGAAATTTGCTTATGTCAAACCTGTTTGTCATGCGCCATGGACCCGTCACACTTACCTTCTTCTTGAGCATATTGAAATTATCAATAATAACTCCAATAAATAGATTGAGCGTGAAGAATGAGCCGCAAACAATGAAGATCACAAAGTAAATATAAGCATAGAGATTAGCCTCGCGTTGCGGCTGTAGATCGACGCCGCGTGCATCGACTGCATCGGCCATAACCTCCATCCAACCTTCGAAGGTGGCCACTTGCAGCAGCGCCAGATAGCCCATGCCGACATGATCGAAGGTGATCTTCGAATTGATCCACGTGTAATTTTTTTTAATGCAATCGGCTCTGTCGTTCACTTTCTGTACGACGGTGAAGACGAAGAGAATGGAAAATATTAGCAAAAGATGTATGCATTGTTAGATTAAAAATAGAAAGAATAATAACAAAATTTTTATTTATATCGATAGATAAAAATAATAATAATAATAATAATATGTTTGAAATTAAAAAAAAAAAAAAATAAATAAAAAATGTTACAAAAAAAAAAATATATTAAGAAAAAAATATTTAAATGAATTGTAATTTATATTTATTTTAAATTAACATTTTTTGTCACAACAAAATAAAAATTATCGGTGCGCTTCCTCTTCTCTCGCAACGGAAATTCAAAAATAAAATATTGTTTAAGTATTTCTGTGTTCAATTTTGTTTTTCTAAGTGTAGTGTTGCATATTAATAATTGTAGATTATGTCCGAATTATTTACTAACCGTTACTGGCAGCAATTCACCATCATCGTCAAGGCATTTGAAAAATTTACCACCGAAAAATTGTACACCCATTATGGAAAATATCAACCAAAAGACTAAACAAACTAAAAGTACATTAAAAATTGACGGTATTGCATACATGAGAGCATTTACTACAATTCGCATTCCTTGCCACCTGGAATAGAAATAAAATGAAACAGATTCATAGATTTATGGGGGGACATGTTTAACATATTTACATATTTTTTTTTTAACTGTAAATCTCTTTATGTTTACGAAAGTTGTTCTGTTTTTTGTTTTTTATTTTGTCACTGAGGAAAGGAAGGCGCTCAAATACATACACACATATTTTGGACTACTTTTGGAGAACGAAAACAGCAAGTAATATGCAATTTTACACATACACACACTCAACGAGAACAACAAATTTAACTGAAACTAAAATTTTAGTGTATAATTTCAAATAAATAAAATATAAAAAAAATTATATTTTTTCGTATCGAACTCAAGCCTGTTTTTATTTTATTACTGAATATCCCTTTAAAAGTGAGGCAATTACAAAAATACTTATTTTGACGACCTACATTTTTATGAACAACTAAAACACTTTGGCTATTTACTACAGTAATATTCATTTGTGAACAAGTGAAACACTTGCAAGATTGTATTGTATTTTGTGAACAAGTGAAACACATAAAATATTTATTAATTGGTTGAAAATGGACTGAAATAGACACTTGACGTAAGTCATCAATATCGTAGAATTTCTGAAAGTTCCAACTAATATGTAGTAAGTAAGCTCTGGGTTTCAATCAAGCATAACTTGAAAGCGTTATATATTTTAAACGTTTTACGATACATTCTTTTAAGTAGAGTAGTGAGTAGAAATACATATCTAAAAGTTGGTTTTACTGACAGCTGTTGGGAGACATGACCCAAGCTTGGTAATCTTACAATACAGTAAAACGGATTAATTGGAACATGGCTCTGCCACCAAACATCTAGCAAATAAACATGACTTCAAGACTTTACAGGCTTTTTCGATATGGTAAGAACTGGTCTATTTGACATACGACTTGAAGAACGTTTATAAAAATAATTAGTCTACATATTACCGTGTGATTTATGTGATCATATGGATAAAAACAAGCTCCATCTGTCTGGACTCTAATATATATTAACGGTATGCACTTGCTTAATAAAAATATATATTAGGAAGACGTTAAAAACAGTAACCAAATAGACTATCAATAAGTTTTGACAACTCTAAAAAGTTTTTGTAACGGGAAAATACCTCGATGAGAATCTAGACTTTAAAAGGAACAGGAGATTCAAGAAAACTTAAACTTTTAACTACAGAATTTTTTTATTGACAAATATTTTAAAACTGATTTTCGAAAATAAAAATTTAATAATTTACTGTTGTTTTTATTACAACAACTAAACATAAGGCATGCAAACAAATAGGTTAGTAATTATTTGGTTCTAATCAAAAAAATTATGAAATTCATCAAAGGATAGCAAAATGACAGGGAAAGTGGTGTTGGTGAAAGGAATAGTTTTGTATATGTAAGACTTTGTGCCGTATAGCAGTAGTGAGTACAAGTAAGACATACACATTAACTGGGAGGTGAAGTGCAAGGTGCGGACGTGAAGCCAATAACGGATAAATATTGTAGGATATCAACTGTCTACAACAACTGGGCATGAATTTTGGCTACGCGAATTACCGATGCGGAAGGCAAAGTGTAACACGAATTGCTCTGTGTTTGCAGCACAAAAAGTTCACAGTAATTTAAATTTTTTTCATATATACTATAATAAATGATTGGATAGTGATTAAATTTTTTTTATTAATTTTTTTTTTTTTTGTAATTTTAAAACTTTTTGTGTGCAAATACAACTGTACGCAAATTAAAAAAAAAAACACATGTCACATATGATTGGGTACATTTTCCAACTTCTGAATTTCGTCATACATATTACTGTTAGTTACTGGCGGCCTAGTAGGTAGTACAGGATGTACGGTAAACAGTTTATATTAACGGTTTGTTTTAATTACACAATTACTCAATAACGGGAAATATTCATTACTGCTACTGTCAATAATTTGGAGTGAGTTTTTTGTTTCAATAGAACGCTATACGGTACTTTGGGTGTGGCATTATTTGATTATTTATTATTTCTATTCGAAATTCATAAAGAAGACGAGATTGTATTAAACACTTCCAAATTGTATTTTATAATATTATTATTACTTGTTTCAATTAAAATACAGTAAGCAAGTTGGAAAGCATAAGTTTTTTTAAATACAAATACATACAAACATATGTATGTAAAAATATTGAAAATTAATAACGGTACAAAAAATGTGCATACAAGCTTGTTCAGAAACAACGCTGTAAGAAATCAGTGTTGTATAATATATAAGTATATATGTTATGTATGTTAGTAATAGTTAAATGTTTTAGCGAAAAAAGTTAAAAAGGCAGACTGAAATCTGAAAGTAGAAAGTTGATGCATAATTATATTTAAGGATTTAAAGAAAATTACACAATTACCAAAATACATCAATAGTTTTATTTGAGCAACATTAGCATGGAGCATGCCAAATTCAGTATATATAGCACGTTTATAAGTAGTATTAATAGATTAAGAGAATACACATTTAAGAACGAAAATGTTTAATTTTCTATAAAAGTATGCAAAGATATTTCCAGCGAACTTTCTTTACAAAAGTACCATCATTTATTTGTTAAGCAAAATTGTAGATCGGCACAACTATACGTATACGGGTACTTCGTTTGCACACCGATTAACTTACCGTGATATGGCACGTAATGGACGTAAAGCTCTCAATGTGCGTAGCGAACGCAGAACCTTGAGATTCTCATTCTCCTCAATGAGCAATGAGAACACGGATACCTGCGACACCGAGAGAGCGCAAGCATTAAATACCAAACTAAATGTTTACTATCTTCAATTTTCTACTCACGAAGACTATAATGAAATCCAATATCGTCCAAAAGCTGGTGAAATATTTGGAAAACCCCAACGCTAGCCATTTCAAAACCATTTCAACGACAAAGATGAGACAAAATGAGAAGTTCGTCCAGTAGAGTACACGTTTTAGCGTTTTATTGCTATCCAAGTAGATGTCCTCGAAACAGAGTGTGATGCTCGACGCGAATATGAGCACTAGCACAAACCACTCAAAGGCTGGAGTATCGACAACCGCCAAGACAGCCGTCCTTATGCGTGTCCATTGTTTGGCGCTCTTCGTGTCCATGCACGACATGAACCATGGACAGCGAAAGTAGAAGCTGCAATAAAATATGTTTGTTGTTGTTTTTCATATATGAAAGTAGCGATAAATTGAGGTGAAATGACAAAGAGAAGAATAGA